CCTTAATATGTGGCAATACATGCTCATACTTCTTAACTAATTTGGCCTTTCCAACTTTTCTTTTGTACATGGCTGCCAAGCTAACATTATGTAAGTATTTACTTTGGTTAGCATTTTCCCTTTAAATGTCCACATCTTTATTGCCTTTACTGAATAAAAGCTATAATGAAAAAAAAAAATCCAATGCATTAAAATAAATGCATTAAAAATATATATTTATAATATAATTTTTATCTGTATCTTTCTGCCACTGTTTACTGTTACACTTGTTTTTTTGTTTTATATTAACTACATACCGTTTTGTACTAAAGTTTCAGCTAAATAATCACCACTTTTGAGCTGCAGATATTATGTTGCGTCAATTAAAATAATACATATGGAGCAGAATAAGCCCTAAATGACGCCTACAATAATTAGACCCAATTTGTCACATGACCTGCTTTTATGTGTCCAGTGAGTGGAGTAAAACCTGTTTTCACCTTTCCCCTCATCACTGGTGTGTACTTGAGAGCCAATGTATTCACGCTTACCCATGGCTTGGCAGTGGGGCATGTTTCCTCGCCCCAATAATATATTAATAATCAGATACTGCCACCGCATGTCTTGCTGTCGCTGCTTGCTTGTTTTTATAGTTCACGGGTCAGTGGAGTGGCATTTGGTGCATGTCCCCTGTGCAAGTCATGTCTGTACTAACTAGCTAGTTGTGATCACTGTGAGGCCATGCCGGTGACGAGCCGCTTTCATAATGTTGACTATGTAAGTGACAGGCATGATAGGGAAATGCTTATGCAAAACTGAGTATGAATAATGGATGAACTCATATCAATTCATAGATCACATGACCATGGCATAAGCAAACATATTGTCCTTGTCTATTTGATGAGAGTGGAAGGTCACCAGAGGAACAGAGAAATAAAAAAGAGAGACGACACATGAGAAAAAGTGAGTTTATCTAAAGGGGAGGTCAAGAGAAATAAATAGTGGCAAGACAATTAATGCTATCTTAAAATATGCAATAAAATGAATGAACATTACAAATGCAGCACATGCTTGTTCACTTCAAACACGGCAGGTGCAGAACTGACTATTTTTCTCATTGGCTCTTTTATTTTCTGTCTGTTTGAAATGGGCCTGAACCTGCTCATTAATTTAGTTAAATGAGGTGAGAAAGTTGTTTTCAAGGTGGACGGGGGGTTGAGCGATCTTGAAAGCATTTCCTGTGATTTTGTTAATGTGCAGACCAGGTCCACCAAACCTGACTGCAAGCAGCTACTGGGTCAACGACCGCAACCTCGCTCAAAGTCTTTACTCCATTTACTTTGGGCCTCTAGGAACTAATGTTTTGTGAGATTGCCAGTTATGCTCAAATCACCGAAGTTCAAACAGTATGCCTGGATAGATTTGGTGCAATAGCTGATATTTATTTGTATGCATAAACCTAAAAATATGAATACATTGATTTTAAGCTACCATTATACCCTAAAAGAGCAGATGTTACCAGTATCTCCGGCACAGATCAATATCATTGTCTTTATGCTAGAAAAGCTCACAAGATACCTTCACAGGCATTTGTCTGTTAAAAGCACATATCCTGAATTGTTGCTTAACCCAACTAGTGACCCTGCCACTTGCAATCTCCCCCCCTCTTCCCAGATTCACCAGCGCACAATCCCCCTCGGAGGCAGGCGATATAGGATGTGTCAAAAAGGGCCACTAGAACCAAATAGGAAACCTGTGATTCACAAATCCGAAGGCTCGCTTCGCGGCTGCTTACTCATCTGTTAAAAACAGAGTGATCTGGAAGGTTTGTATGGGAGGCCTTTTGACAGAGCCCTGCTGCTCTGTCAGTGCAGCACATGCTCTAGGCACTGGCATCCCCTATTGCCTTCCAGGTCATTGGGTAGCCGCAGAGGGGGGTCTGCCTCAAGCCCCATGACAAGCCTCTGATTCGCAGCTGGATCCGTAACAAGGTATCATAGTAAATGAGTCGGTAAAACATCACTGAACTAAGGAGCGTGACAAATTGCCATGATATAATTTGTAATATTTAATATGAGTTGCGGAATAAGGTGGTTCAGCAGC